GGTCCTGCTCTGCACATCCTTGTTTATGTCTGCCTGCCCCTCTATAAATCTTTCAGTTGTCTGGCTCCCAGCAAAGGGACTGCGTTTTCCCCTCACCCCTTGTTCCTTCCAGGAATGTGACTGAGGCATTTTCCTCTGTCATGATAATAAATGGGGTATTTGATCCAGGAATGCATCCATCCGCCAGCGTGCAGGTCTTCCAGCGGCTCACCGTGCCTTGCCCGCAGGCACCGGGAGCACGTGCGTGCGTGCGGTACGGCCGGCCCAGCTGAAAGGCCGGCACGCAGCTCTGCAATGCCACCCCGCAGTCCGTGCGGTGGGAAGCCGAGGAGCTCTACCCTGCTCTGGCCTTTCCTCGGGCTCTCCAGAGACTCGGACTCTTGGAGACAGACGTAAGAGAGAGCTCGGCAGCAAACCCAGCCCTTCCTTTTGCTCGGCCTCGACCCCAGCACAGCTTCACTGCGGAGAGCAGGAGTGGGAACTGACTGGAGCTGCCCAGTTTGGCTTAGGGACAAGGCTTCTTCCGTACCCCTCTGGGGAGCAGGAGGCCGTGTCCAGCTAATGCTGTGCTCACTTTGGCACAGGGCAGTGTTTTCCACAACTGCAAGCCAGGGTTGCCGGAGCGCTACAGCCCGATATGTGATGGGACCCAGACCTGTCCCGGCCCAGCTCTTGTTGATTTAGAGGACTTGGTTCCTTCTCCCCAGGGCTTCTGCCATCCCACAGGCTGTGGCTTGGGCAGCGGAGAGCAGCTGGGATGTTTCAGAGCGGAGGCATTTGTGCCCTTTCGTGCTGCTTGATTTCCTTTCTGAGGAGCTGGGAAGCCTGTTTGTCCTGGGACTTGTTTCAAACAAAGGTCAACCTGTTTCTTTCCGAGAAGGCCATGTGCGTTTGCTTCCCCGCTGCTGCGGGACGTTTCTGAGCCTTCCCTTCAGACCTGGTTCCCTTTGCTCCCTTGCCCCCAAGGTAACAAGACCGCTCTCCCTTTCTTTTCAGTACGAGGATCGTCACGCAAAGTGGGACGTCAACCAGGCCGGCTTCAGCCACAGCCATCAGCATGGCTTTGGCTTGCTGAACGCCTGGAGGCTGGTGAACGCTGCCAAGGTAATCCCCCTCCCTGTCCCAGGCCTACCCCGCAGGCAGGTAGAGCAGACACGGCCCTGTCCTGTACCGGCAACACCGTGGGGTGATGCTGTTGCCGTTCAGGGCCAACGCTTTGGCCGTCATCCTGCCGGCCCTCGCTATAAGGCTGCTTTTGGCATGAAGTAATGAGGCTTTCGGCAATGCCTGAAACCTGCCCCGAGCTGCTGCGCTCTCAGCACTATATATAGCCATGGGTGAGAGCCTTCGCTGGTGGGAGACGACAGCTCTGATTCATGGCTTGGGGAGTTTTGTCAGCAGCCCCAGCACCTTCCTCCCTACGCAGCGGGCTCCAGGGAGGGCGTCACGCCCCGAGGAAACAGGGCGTTCTCAGCTGGCAGCTATGGGGTCGGTGTCCCCGGGGGCTGCCGAGGGAGTGGTGTGGTCAGAGCAGGCAGGGGCATCCCCATCTCTTCCTCCCTGTGCCTCCAGTCGCCGGGAGACCAGGACGCATCCCTTTGGCACTCGGTCCTCGCTCGTGCATAGAACACTGCGCAGCTGTGCCAGTCGCTGCCAGTTGCCAGCAATGCCCCCATTTCACAGGGGCTTTCAGGCTGTTCTCTCTTCCTCCGGGGCTTAGGGTTCCGCTGTGTTTACTGCCCCACCGCACCTGGGGTTGAAACACAAGGGCTTCAAGTAGCCGCTCAAAGCCACTCGGGTGGTGGCGGAGACAAACCCAAAGCTGGGGAGTCCTGAGTCTCGATCAGCCCCTCTAGCCCGCAGGCAGTCGCGTCCCTTCCGCTCCTAGGCGTGCTGGCACTCCTCCCTGCCCTGCGGCGCGGACCGCAGCCCATGGGCGCTGCCTGGGTTTGCGTGCCGCAGACCAGCGTCGGGAGAGGCAACTTGACCTGGGCCCGCGTCCGCACGCATTAGGTGTGCTACGGACAGGAGCAGCTTGCGAAGGTGGCGGGAGATTGAGGGATGGGTGTGCAGGGAGGGCGCAGCCTGGTGCTGAATCCTCTCCCCTTTCCCCTGTCAGATCTGGGAATCCGTCCCGTACCTCGCCTCATACGTGAGCCCTGCACTGAAGGAGGGCAGGAGCATCCCGTTACTCCCGCAGGAGCTGGAGGTCGCCTGGAACGGTAAGAGCGGATGTGCCACGTGAGAGCATGTGCTTGTACGCACCGAAGCTGGAGATCCAGCCCGTTCCTGCTGGTGTGGGGCACAGCTGGGCATGCTGACAGCCTGGCAGGGCAAGCCCTGGGCTATGCGAGGCCACGAAGGGGTTAAGAGTTGGGCCGCCTGGGCTTCTTCCTCTCTTTGTGCTGCCCTGGGCTGTGTGTGTCGATGTGGTCCCCTCCCCATAACTCCCGTCCCATAGATTGATGTCTTTGAGGAGCCAAACAGGCATTAGGAGGATGGCCAGGCTGGGCAGCAGCCAGACCTGCTCCCCTGGCTTTGACCATTTTAGGTAATGCTCCAGCTCCCGACTTGGCCAGCCTTTGTCCACATAAACAAGGCGCTGCTCCGGCTGCTACCAGTGGGAAGGAGAGCTCGGCCTCGAGCCCTTCCTGGCCTCCCAGCAAGCCCCGGCTCTCTGGCTGGGCCCAGCTTCTCGCACTGAGGCTGGGCCACCAGCTCCCTCCCTGTCCCACCCTGTCCCACCAGCGATGCTGTTCCGGGCAAGGGGGATCATCAGCTCCTGGCAGAGGTGCTGGGGCCTGGAGGCTGTTCCCCAGGACAGAGGAGCCGTGGAAAGAGTTTGGAGCTGGGCAGTCCAGCACCCGCCTCACAGCTGATCCTGTCCCTCCGCTCCTTGCTGCGGGCTGAGGAGGTGCTGGGCAGGCACTGGGCACATGCTCTCCCTTTCTCCTGCCACTGCCCGGCTGGGCTGGTCTGGCTCTGCAGCACGCTGCTCCCTTGCAGGTGCCAGCACCCCAGGGCCCCAGCGGGGCAGAGGGGTGACACCCTGCTCCTTGGGCTGGCAGTCGGGTTAGCCCCGCTCTGCCTCTGAGGAGAGGGCTGGGGGTCAAGCAGCTCCGTCTGCCCTAAAAGGAGTTGTGCGCTGAGAGCTGGGCAGCAAGCAGAGTTTGGAAGAGGCAGAAAAGAGGGCTTTGGAGAAGTATGTGCAGAGGAATGTGTGGCCGGGGCACTGCTGTCCCCCAGGTACGGGCTGAAATCCACTCTGAAGCCTGCCAGGGTTTCCTGTGCTAGAACAAGCAGCTCTGGGGCTGTGAGCGTCCGTGGAGGTGCAAATAGTTTGAGATGGGATCGGGGAGCCTGGACAGCGGGGTTCTCAGCCCAGTCGTCTCTGCAAACCTGGCTCCTGTGTAACTGTGGGTTCAGAGCAGCCTCCGGGGCTACCAAAAGCCATCACAAATTCAGGAGGGGAAGGGTTTGAGGAAGGATGAGGGATTAT